TTAGCCAGGCGTGGTGGCGTGTGCCTGTAGTCCCAGCTACTTGGGAGGCTGAGGCAGGAGGATCAGTTAAGCCCAGGAGTTTGAGGTTGCAGTGAACTAAGCTGATGCCACAGCATAGCCTGGGCAACAGAGTGAGACTCTATCTCAAAAAAATAAATCTCTCTTTTTATTAAATAGTTTTACTGAGATACAATAACATACCACACAATTCACCTGAAGTGCATAATTCGATGATTTTTAGTATATTCGCAGAGTTGTCTAACAGTCACAATCAATTTTAGAACATTTTCATGGCCCCCCCCAAAATATTCCTTCATCTCTTAACCACCCCCCCAAGCCTCAGCAACACTAACCTGTTTCATGACTCTATAGATTTGCCTATTCTGGACATTTCATATAAATGGAATCACATATGTGGTCTTTGGTGTCTGGCTTTTTCATATAGCAAAATGTTCGAGGCTTATCCATGTGGTAGCATGTATCAGAACTTCATTCCTTTTTATGGCTGGATAATATTCCATTGTACGGATAACCACATTTTGTGGATCCATTCATCCGCTGATGGACATTGGGGTTGTTTCAACTTTGGGGATATCATGAATAATGCTGCTATGAACATTCGTGAACAAGTTTTTGTGTGGACATGTTTGAATTTCTGTTAGATATATATGCAGAAATGAAACTGCTGGGTCATAGGGTAACTCTTATATTTAACCTTTTGAGGAACAGCCAAATTGTCTGCCAAAGCAGCTGCACCATTTTCCATTACCATTAGCAATGTATGAGGGTTCCACTTTCTCCACACCCTTGACAACACTTATTATCTGTCTTTTCGATGACTGCCTAGTGGGCATATAGTTTTACTCAACTCCAAAACAACTTGTTATACTCAGTTGTTTTATCTACAGCCAAAAGACACGTTCAGACTAGATCCACTTTGAAAAATCTGGCAGGAAACACGGGTCTTCCCCAAGCTCTGGAGATACAACACTTTACCTTTCAAGGGAAAGCACAGATATTGCACACAGCTAAATCCTAGCATTTTCATAATACGATGCAGAACAGGTTTCCTCAG